CTGCACTCAACCGAAATACAGGAACTGGTGCTTTTCCATTTCTCAGTATATGCAACTCACTTCTGTTGCATAAATCAGGCAAGTCCAGTCTTGACTTACCATTGTCTTTTGTTCTTCCCGCTACGTTTATAACTGTATGCATGATGTTATCAAAAAAGTTTTTTTCAATGTGCATGACATCAAGATTGTGTTTGAGCAGATGATCTTTCCAATAGAGTAGTTGCCAAAAGATACTTTTCTTGTGCCAATTATGATGAACTCCATAACCTTCAAGCATATTTGCAGGAGTGTGCCAGTTTCCCCCACGCGTTACTGTTTCCTCTGCCCCCCAATGCTCGATTTGCGCATGTATATCAGCTCCTGTTAAATTTACGGGTGGAGGGACATGTACACTTTTGTTCTTCATAAATAACCTCTTGTTCCTCCGATATGGATGGTTATCCGGTAAAGACCTCCGGTGACAATCAAACCAACAAGTTTTTCTACCATGTTTTAGTTGAAACACATCAGTTCGATGAAGACAATAAGGACAAGATAACCTCCCATGTGTACTCCATCCTGATAGCATACCATAAGCTAGGAAATCGCTTATTGTCCACATAAGCACAGCCCGCATAGTAAAATTTTTGCCCGTAGAACAGTCATATGTGTGAACGCCGGTATACCATAACTGATTCAACTCATGTATGAGTGGCTGCAGAAATACATCGAGAGCTCGCTTCGGATGATTGGGACCTGGAACCAAAATACTTAGGAAAAGAAATTCCCTTTGCATGCACAAATCTGGAGGAAGGTTATAAGGAGTTAGGATTACTAGCCATAATGAATATTGTCTACCAGACATACCAAATGGACTAAAACCATCAGTGCACAGACCAAGATAGACATTCCGTTTGAACTTAGCAAAATCTGGGTATACCATATTGAAGTGTTTCCATGCCTTTGCATCTGATGGATGAACAACTTCTCCATCTACTTGTGTATTTTCGGCATGCCATCTCATTGATGTAGCTGTCCTTTCAGATTGATAAAGCCGTTTTAACCTATCAGTTATAGGGAGATACCACATACGTTGGTACGGTATCATTTTACGCCCACCAGTTTGCGGCTTGTATCTTGGTTTTTGGCAAAATCGACATTCCTCCAGCTGATCATCATCTTTCCAAAAAATCATACAATTGTCAACACATACATCTATCATCTCAGAAGGTAGACCAAGACTAAAAATCAACTTCTGTATTTCATAATATGTTGCCGCTGCCAAGTTATCCTCCAGTAGATACTCTTTCAGAAGATCAGCCCAATCATCCATGCAAACCTCAGCCAGGTTATGATCTGTTTTAATTGACATCATTCTAGCTGCCAACGATAATTTAGACAGGCCTTCTCTACATCCTTCGTAGATTGGCTGATTAGCATTGTCTAACAAATCATAAAATCGTTTGACATCTACATTAGGTTCTTCAACGGCATTACCAGTGTGCGTTTCATGAAATGCATCAGTCACCATCTCATGCATCCTATCATGATCTAGACTTTGATCAGATTGATACTGATTAGGCTGATGACCATAATTCGATTCATCAAAATCAACAAGACTTTGATAATTACTACTACTACCAGCATTCCCATGAGTATTACTGCCATATCCTTCTCCACGTAGATACCAAACAAAATATTGCGGCATAAACCCTCTATATAATAAATGCGTCCACACGGTTTTGGTTAGTGTATACCTCGTATTCTTGCATTTCAAACAAGGACAAAACATCTTCCTGTTATCTTTCGTTCTCTCCATATTTGTAGCCTGATACATAAATATTTCTAACCCGTTCTTGAACTCTTCTGTCAACGCCCCATCTGAATCTTTACGCATATACATCCATCTTCTTAGCTTGTATATAGACATCTTGAAATAAACTCAAAATACTATCTCTTTTTATTGATTAGACAATAAAAGAGCCGGTCTCTTGTGTCACGTCTAGCCACGTGAATGGAGTAAACCCTTTTAATATTATTACTTCTTTTTTTCAAAGAAATAACTACTAATTCGGGTTTCCAGCAATGGACAACCCAATATATCAGGATTTACAACACTATACTAAGGTTTAAGAGACCTACAATGGGTCTCCAGGATGATGATGCTCTTATGTTTGAATGATGATGTGTTGTGAATGAAAGAAGGAATGAAGATCTATTTATAACAAAATTTCGGGCTTTAGGACGCTTTTACGACGATTTTTTACATCGCTTTGACATTCAACATTAATATTACGACGATTTTACGTCAATTATGCGATATATTTATAAATATTTATAAATCGTCGTAAAATGTAAACCCTATAGGGTTTAGCTTTCCCAACTCACAGAATGGTTTTTGGGTGCATTTTCCTGAGTAAACTAATGTATTATATAAGGTTTTGTAGTATAAGATTAAAGAACTTGTAGATATGTGGTTTATGTGACGACGAATTTACGACGAATCACACCCATTCGTCGTAAATTCGTCGTAAAATACTATCGAGTTTACGACGAAATGTAACCCCTAAATCTTATAATCAATCTTTTCTGGGGTTCGGGGGGGATTTAGATGAAGATAATGATATGACTTACCATCTCATAAGGTAAAACAACTTTCTAAACAAAAAAAAAAAATTTCAAAATTTGACATATATGTGTTTATCAAGTAATCTTAAGGTGTTATATACATTTAGAGAAGATGTAAGAATTTATCTTAGATCAAACCAAATTCTTCATTATGTTATGTAAACATGCTAGAAACTTATACAGACCACATTTAGCATGTATAGGCATGCTTGTATGTGCTTATGGGTGTTTCAATTTCTGTAATTCATCATTTTTGTACATACCATCGTAAAATCGTCGTAATATTACGACGATTTTACGACGATATGTAAATACATAGCCGTTATAATTTTTGTGATTTATAAGAATTTGTCGTAAATTCGTCGTAATTTTACGATGATTTTACGACGAATAACCCTGATCGTCGTAAATTCATCGCAAAGTCCAGATACAGCCACGTGTGTGTGTCTTATTCGCTTTGTTGTACGGTTGCAGCTTTACGATGGATTTACGACGATTTCGTCGTAAATTCGTCGTAATGTTTACGTCGGATTTACGACGAATAAAAATTCTATATATATGGAAGCATCCCTTCCTCATTTCGTCGCTCATTCAACTTCTTCCTCTCCCTGCTTCCTCCTCACTTCGTTGCTTCCCTGCAAACCCAAAAAATCAGGTAATTTTATTTTTTTTACTTAAAATCTAATTTTTATTTTTAATTAGTTTAGAAATACAAACGGTTTAGGTCGGAAATTAGTTTAGGCTCGGAATTTGTTAGATTTAGGATCGGAATTTGTTAGATTTAGGATCGGAAATTAGTTTAGGCTCCGAAGAAGAAGGGCCGAACCTTAGGGATGGGCTCTATTAGAGACTGTCCTGCCGCCTCGGCTTCCGGATTTCGCACGCAGGAGGATCCGAGTCATCTTCGCCAGGAGCTTGCTACGGCCAATGCTGAGATCACCACTCTCAGGCATGAGCAAGTGGCCCAAAAGCAGGAGCTCACCGAGATGCACGGTCTCTTCGACATCATTGCGGAAGCGGTTCCGCAGTTGGCCACTGCAATCCGAGCGAGGCAACAGCGAGCACGAGGGGTCTTTGAGACCGGTGGTACTTCCGGTACTGGACCATCGGACCAGCATACGCAGGGTCAGTCTTCGGCTCCGGTAGTGCAGACGAGAAACGACGGTCCAGCAGCGACGGGCGGCCAAGACGGAGAGCCTCCTCGTGACGTCGATCTCAACCTCGACGATTACGAAATCACATTGTAGATTAGATTTTTTGTAAAAAACAATTTGTATTAAATTTTTTCTTTTATTTATAAATTATTTTCGAATTTAAATTTCAATTTAAATTGTTTTTTTCTATTTTTAATTTTTTGATTATTTTAAAAATTCATTAATTAAATTAAAATCGAATTGAATAATTAATTTATAAATCGACGTAAATTCGTCGTAAATTTACGTCGATCTAACGTCGAATATTTAACGACGGATTTACGTCGAATATGTTTACGTCGGATTTACGTCGAAAATTTACAACGAATTAACATCGACAATTAAAAAATTAGTTTCCCTTAATTGAAATTATTCGTCTCCTAATCGTTGTTAAATCGATGTAATTTTACATCGATTTTATGTCGTTCTTATGATGGACTTATTTCATTGTACTTTCGTTGGAAAATTTACGTCGCGTTTACGACGAATAGTTTCCGACGATATTACGACGATTTTCCTGGGTTGGTAATTTTACGACGATTTTATGACAATTTCTGTTTTACGACGATTGTTTTACGACGATTTTTTTTCGTCGTTAATTCGACGTAAATGTTCTTTTACGTCGATTTTACGTCGATATCTGCCGACGTAAAACCCGATCTTTCTTGTAGTGTATCAATTTTTTGACTAACAAATGCAACTAACAAACTATATGAACTAATAGATAAATCAACTCGGGAGAGATAGAACCTAGCGTAGGAGCGTTTAAGCTCTGATACCAGTTGATATAAGATCAAAGATATAATCTTATAAACCGATAGTGATGGGGGTCTTTGTAGTTGGCCTAACGGCTTTCTCTACTTAGACAAAGGATGGAACGACGAGAATAGACTGGTGGAGATTAAACAACTGGCCTAGCGGCTCTCTTTGTTTAACCTAGTGGATGAGACGGCGAAATGAATAAGCGATGGATCGAGGTGACACACACACAACCGGTGATGGAGTTGTGACAGTCAAGAACTCTTGGAATCAAGGGGAAGACGCACAAGATTCAAAGAACTCGCAAAGGTGAAGAAACTTCTCGTTTTATTGATATCAAAAGCAAAAGTGTCCAATACAAAGCCGCATGTGGAACCTTATATGAATGGTTCATCGGCTGTTGCCTTCTAGGGCAAATCAAAGAGAAAAAAATGCAGAAAAGGAAACCTAATACAATCGAGAGTCTCTCTAAAACTTAAAGACAAAATGTAAAAAGGAAAAATAACTTAAAGGATTAAAGTTTAATTCCTGCAAAACAACAAAAGGAAAACTCGTTATTTGAATTCAAATTGAAAGACTTACCAGAAAATGGAAAGTTTGAGGCGTCTCCGCGTCTTAAGTCTAAGTGATGTCGTTTGGGAGCTGAGTGATGGAGAATAGAGTTGGGCCGGGAGTGATCTTCAAAAGAGGCCAAGCTTTAGTCTCCACTTGTTCCACGAGAGCTTGATCCATTAAGTCTTCTTGACTTTCTTGACTTGTGATGCCGAGTGTGCTCATCTTCTTGTTGAGGACTTCAAGCTCTTGCTGTGGCATTAGTCCTTCCACAGCTTCTCCAAACTTCTCTCTAAGAGTTCTTGCACCGGATCTTGTCCTTGGTGGCTCATACATGGTGGGAATCTTGTCGATCTCAGGTGGCTCTTGACTCATGTCATCATCAACCTAGGACCAAGAGCTTTGACTCCATGGCTTTAAATAAACCACCTTTTTATTTGTTTAGGTGTCGAGTCTAGAATCAGACCTTCATTCATTTCATCAACTTATTAGGCTAGTTCCTTAAATGACATAATAATGTAGATAATTCTTTAAGTTGTTTTTTGAGTTAGTAGTCAAAATATGTTTACTTCATGCCTAGTTCTTCTCGAGTGCATCTTTTCTTTGGAGTGGCTGTGGTGGTGTTGTTGTTTCTCTGCTATGTTCTATTTCGGTCATATGTTTTCTTTGGTCAATGTTGTTACTGCTTGTGATTATTTTTGTTCTGTCTATAGGCCTTCCGTTGTTCTAGAGGTAGTCTAGTTTTGTTCTCTTGGTTTGGTCCAGTCCCAGCGTCTACAATTTATTTGAAGTTAGCTTAGGAGTATTTCGGTTCAAAGTATTAAACTTAATGCTAATGATTCTTATGTTATACTTTTTGATTTAATTCCTTATCAATTTTGGTTTTTACTGTCGAATATGATTTGTTATATGATGGGATGTCGCGGTGAGGGTGTCGAGTTTTATCCTAATAGAATCAATTAAAACGATAAATACACAGCTAATCGATTGTAATACTTAGTGATCGAATCCACAAGAAAGAAGAATTTTTTCTTGCAAAAACCTTTGAAAGAAATATAAAGTAAGGAAGTCTAAAACTAGTCGAATTTAAAGGGGTTTTGGGGTGTTACTAAAACGTAAATCCTAAACTAAACGGGAAAAAGACAAATTTAATGAAAACTAGAAATAACCTAATGCTAAAATTTTAATAAAAATCGACTGGGAATGAAAAACAATCTAATAACTTAAAGTTGGAATGTATTACAGAAAAAATGAGTATTCTTAGCATTCTTTATTATAGCGCATATCGTATTATCATTTATTATAGCGCATTTTAATCTGTTATTAGATATATTCTATAATAACGTTTTATTTTTGTTATAAATGATATTATTCATAGCGTTTGAAAATTGTTATTTATAATATTACTATAGCATTTTTATAAATTTAATTGTTTCTACATATTATTTTAGACTGAATTGTTTCAAGATATACATCATTTTGGGTTAGAGACGTTGCATAAGAGCATGTGCATTAGAGGGATTGTACGAAAGTTGCTTAGCATTAATATAATACTTTTTTTGGTTTAAGGATAATTAAGCAACTTTTATCATCAAGTGTTGCATTAGAGGGATTGTAAGAAAGTTGCTTAGCATTAAAAAATTAATATTTTTTAAAAAAAAATTATTAACTTAATCTTTAATTTAAACATTCATTATATATTAAACAAGATTATAGAACAGTACATGAAATTATTAAAATTAAAAATACAGATATTTTTAAAAATTGGGTTGAAAAAATTGGGACTTGAGATGAACCAGGGTCTACACTATGAAAAACAGAGTGTGTGTTCCTCTTGCCTTGTTAAGAGGTTCACAAAACCCTGTGAACTACCGTTTGGGTTCATAGAATCCATGTTTTTTTGTAAGACAAGTGTTTAGAAGAGAAGAGTTAGATTTAAGAAGTTTGTGAAAGACAAGTTTGTGAAAGACAAGCGTTTGAGTTTGAACAAAAGTTTGTGAAGAGAAGAGTTATTTTAGAAGATAAGTGTTTAAGAAGTTTAAGAAAGACTTAGTGTTTTAGCGAGTTCTATATTTGAAAGAGAGTTGAAAGACGTAGCGTTTGTGCTGTTTTTTAAGAGTTTGGTACATTTAATAAGCAGCTTTAATGATAGCTACTAGTTGTTAGCTTAATAGTTAATTTTTGAGATGTTTGATGTGATTTTGAGACAGCTTTTAAATCACTAAATGTTCTTTAAAACAAGCAACACCTATTACTAAACCATTACTCTTCACCTAACAAACAACCACCACCATTTACAATCAATACTAACTATGCGATCATATACAAAGAAAGCAACTATCAACCCTAAACAAGATGCTAACTACAAGTTTGTTGGTTTGAAGAAGACTTACCTTGGGCTGTGTTTAGAAGGAAGTAACATCAGCATCAAGAATCCCTAGTGCTCTCTCTCCATTTACCCTCGCAAAAAAATTTCACAACAAAATTTTCATCTTGAACTTTAACTTCATCATTAACAATAACATGATATAAATGCATACACTAAGCAAAACCTGTCATATACAGCATTAACCGATCATAAACATCAGTAACCAAAGAATTACAACTCCAAATTATCTTCACCGATTACAAAAAACCGATAATATACTTGAACTTCAACTTCATCATCAAACTAACATGATATATATGGATACACTAAACAAAACCTATCATATACATCACCAACCGATCATAAACATCAGTAACAAAAAATAAAAAACTCAAAAATACTTCACCGAAATACAAAGAACCGATCATATACTTCAGTACACAACATACAGTCTATATTTTCATGTAAACGCTTTCAAACAACTATATTCATGAGTATTATTCACAGAGATTAGCCAAATTTCATTCAACACAAAAACCCCCAATTTTTTCCCCGATTCAAAACCCTAATTTCGAAGAAAACATAACAAAAACGCATAAAACACAAAGAATCCCTCAAAAACGACTAACCTACACGATTCGAGGACCCAATCCGCCGGAAAACAGTCAAAACCGCCGTCGATTTGCTCCGAGAAGAATTCGCATGCACTCGCCATTGAAATCGCCTTGAGAGAGCTCTCGGGTGTTTTTTTCTCTCAAATTGTCAAACTCTCCGATTATTTTTGATCCACACGCGAGAACACGTTTTTTTTTTCCTTCACCCTATTAAAATTTGACACGTCGCACAAGGGTTTCATTATGGCTTGGCCCTTAAATCGCTTAGCTATGGATCGACCCATGTTTTTTAGGGCTCCCTTCCTAATATTTTAACACAAAATAATATTATGCAACCCACTAAAATTATGTTTAGGGCCGCTAATGTTCATGCTCTAACACTATCAAAACACTATTAATTATCACAAAAACAAAAGTAATCAATAATACTATTATAGTAATCAAAGTATTATTACAAAACCTAGATCACAAAGATACACTAATACATACTAATACTAAGAAGATAAGATATACTAATATTAAATCAAACCAACTTCGAGAAAACATCTGGAACCAGTGAAGTGGCTAGTGACACTGCAGAAGGTATCCTCTCTAGGCCATTAGCTTCAAAAGCAACAAACTATGCTCTCTGAAACCTCTTCTTCGATATTATCAACAAAATCAGCTTCCTCCTGCAACAAACTAACATTTGAATTTATCAATTTATAGATTTGGAACATCTAGCAATAAGTAGCCGAGATAAGTAAAGCTCAAATTGTAACTTCGATGAGATAACGAACTTGTGTGGCTTAACTAGAAGCTAATATAAACAAAGAGCAAGCTTTACAGTTCAAGTAATTTGAATTCCTTTAAAACCATAGATGGAGAGAGAACAAGAAACCCGAAACTGGATTCAAGAACAACACATGGCTCAACATGTCGAGAAGTTGCAGAAACAAGGAAACAAAAAGAAAAAATTCAGTCGTGATTGAATATCAGCTAATGAGACAAAATCGAGAAGACAAACAAATCCAAAAGTCAACAAAACTAAATCAATTGATACGTGAGCAAATAAATCAGCAAAACAAAACAAGATCAATACCAAAACGGAAACACTGATCCTTAAATTTTTCCTGTGCTATACAACTCAAAGAATAAGAGACAAAATCAGAAAATATCAAACCAAACACACAAGATGGAAAACAAAAACATTAGTGGATTAGAGAACGAAGATTTTCTTTTTAGTACTTACCGTAAATTTCTCCAAGGGCAGCGAATAAATGGTCTCTGTCAACACTCACGGTAGGCATTTTCGGATATTCCGAAAACCGCAAATTACCTGTAGACAAAAGATGAGGAATTATAAACCAAAATCCCTAATTGAAAGGTTTAATTCTTAAAATCCAGCTGATATAGAGAAGATCCAATGAAACTCGAATGAACAGTAGCAATCAAAACGACAGGAGAAATGGATCGGAGATGCTACGAAATTGATAAAGACTTACCCGCCGGAGAGCGTCAAGCTGCGGCTGCTAGAGAGCAGTGGATATATGGCTACACACGAGACAGGAGAAAATAACAGGAGACTTAAAACTTAGGGAAACAATTACCCTAAATCGAAAACCCAAACTGAAACTAAAACCAGAAATTTCACATACCTTTAACTGAAGCAAACATCGAAGTCTTCCTGTAAAATAACAAATTAATCGAAAGGAATCATACCAAACATGTAAAACCCTAAATCCCACATGAGTAACGACTACCCAAACACAAACTAACTTTCCAAGCAGTGCCGTGCCAAGTCTTATGGAGGCTTAAGACAAATAATAAAATATGTTATTGTTTTACATGTTTAAACTAGATTTTAACCTATCCATAGTGGATGGGCGTGATTTTTGTTGACTAAAATAAAAAATAAATCATAAGTTATATCCAATTAATGTTTAGTTCAGTATATATATAGAGTTGAATGTTATGGATGGAATGATATGTGGAGTTTAAACATCAATACGTGTGATGTTTATGATATGGGCAAATTATATGTTAGCAATCAAATGGGCAAATTAAAATGCAAACTTGCTAAGTGTATATATAGTATATATAGCAAAATTGTTGATAGTTTTACAGATTTTAAACAATAATAGCCCATCAATTTGTATTACAATAATTTGGTATGATAACTTACATTCTAGTTAAAAGCCCATCAATTTGTATCACAAGATAATATATTTTCATATAATAAGGTATATATAATAATGAAAAAATTAATCTAGTTAATAACTTAATTTTCATATTTCTATCACACGATTCATTATAATTTATTAACGATCATTGATAAATATTTAAGCAGATAGTAATTTAGATATGAAAATAAAATATGTTTACGGAAATACATAAACAACCATTGTAAAAAGCCCACAGAACTTAATAAGTTCAAGATATTAGATTCATAACAAAAATATAAATAGGAGGACATATCTCCTTTGAACGAAAATGTGCTATAGTGTAGTCCGGTTTCATCTGCACATCTTAATTTCCTGGTTTTATATTTGACTTCTTCTCGGCCAGAACGAACCTGTTGATATAAATATGAATAGTTAGCAACTATAAATTATGATTTCACTTAAAAATAAAGATAAAACAGCTTACATGTACGCAAACTCTTGAACTTCAGTTATCTCTGGGTTGAAAAGAAATCGAGACTGACCTCCTCAATTTCTGACAATGTGTTCACCTACAAAGAAAAATATAATTGTAGCATTTGACACCGTTATATACTGTGGTAGAAGTTCAGATACCAAATTCAATAATAATAATACATGGGGTATCTAACCTTTAAAGAGATTAAGTCTCCACTCAGTTAACAGAACGAAAATGAGATAAGTCTTTCTCGATTTTCATGAATTATCAAAACAAATTGCGCAGTTATCAAAGGCAAAACATTTGATAACAACATCCCTAAATTTAAAAGTAAACATAAACCAGTGAATAATACTTATAAAAATGAATTTGTATAACATATAGAAAATACACTTACTCGAGATCTCTTATGTGAAATTCAAGAACTTTCTTTGGCTGGATTCTTGAAATGGAGTCAAAGCCATTGCCAATGGATGTTTCACCAACAAAATCGATCACACCAACCAAGTCTATTTAAAAAAAAAGAATAGAAGTTAAATAACATTATGATTCCCTAACATATAATGGACTAATTATTATTAAGAACAAATAAACTAAATAAATCAATAATGAAAATAAAATATTACCAATAGGAAACACAGGATCCACTTTCCTCTTCACAATATCTTCGAATTTGATTAAATTCAAGAAATACCAATTAGATACCGGCTCTTCGCGTATAAAGTCAAGCGTGGTATCTCGAGTAAGCAGGATATTGTAAGGATGTTTAGTTGGGCGTTCTTTCCAATTGTTCCAATCTAAAGATCTGACAATAAAATTGCAAATTTCAAACCATTCTCCTTCGTGACATTCATTCTTGAAATATTCAGTGATCCAGTTATGAGCAGACGCATGAATTTTACAGCCCTAGAATGATTACAGATTGTAAAATACAAAAACTATTAGGGCAAAAAATTTTACTTGCATGCACCAAAAATTCATCTAGCATAAAAGATCAACTTATTTACCTCTTCGTCGGCAAATATGAATTCGAGACGATCCCGACCACTGCTGTCTTTCTCAATCCATTTTTTGTAAATAACAACACGTATCACTAAGTCATGGTAAGACATAATTCGAGAAGTTCGTGTTTTGGAACTTTGTTTGTTCTTTTAAGCAATAGTCTCTGAAATAGAATACAAATAAAGTGGAACCGTCGTCAAAAACGAAAAAGAGAACTTCTTCGAATTAATTTTGGCACAGGTTTGGTTTTCTTGTTAAACAATAAAAATAATGATTACACCTATCGTAGCAACTAATGATGTTTATATACATTGAATGCAACATACTTTTCTATATTGTATTAATTCATGAAAAATCGTTTTTGAGATTCATATTCCAAAATATATACATAAATATTTGTTTTCCTATGTTAGGATTGAAATTAGTTTACATGATATAAAATTTATATTTCATTTAATCAAAAACTCATTTTCACATTTAATACAGTAGAGTAAATAGTATAATTATTGGTTATACATCTTAGATATCGAATAAAAATCACTCCGATAACTGAAATAAAATAAGACTTAGTTCGTTATCATATGTTAGGAGTGAAAGTAGTTTATGATTACAGTTTTTAGTTTCTATCTTCTATAATAACCGTTTCACACCTAACAATATAACATTATATTAAATGGCGACGATTCATTTATTATATTGGTTATCTTAAATTGAAATATAAAATGCATTGATCTTTAGTGTAATGATTACCATGTAGAAAAACAAAGTGTCTAGTATCTCACATATGTAGCATTAGTGACAGAATGTATCTTACTATAAGTTTTTTAGTAATTATTAAATAAAAAGAACAGACGAAGTTGTTATAGTTAAACAACAATAAAAATAATTAACATATACATTATATATTTCTATATTATCAAAGAATATCAAATATATATAACAAAATTAATGCATATGCATACTTTTAATTACTGGTTATTATCGTCATCATATAATAAATCATATTTATTCAATTTATTATATGGTTTCATTAGTATTGCAACTCTAATCGATTAACGAGACAAATCATTACTATTGAGAAGTTAAAAAACTGACGTTATGACTGTTTATTCCGTAGCATGCATACACTTTGTAGTGCAGTTATGAACACCTGTTCTATATATGTTAACATACAATATATTAATTGAACATAAATTGTAATTATATGTATGTGATCATTTGATTTTTAAAATAATAGGTATAACACAAGAGAGAATCGATCAGAAATAATTATATCGAGAAATTATAGCATAATAAGTTACCATAAAACAGAAAAATACAGAATCTAAATATTAAAATTCTAATTTTATCCTAAAAAAATACATCGTCTTACCATCAAGCTTGTTTGGATTGCTGCAAATTAAATAATAAGTTCTCATACATAAGCATATGGAATTAAATAGATTCAAAATTAGACAGAGGTGAACTAACTTGAAAATTTCTCAATTTTTGTGATGGCTGTAGACACAATAAATAACGTTATATGAATACTCGTTGATGCTAAATTATCTTCACGGCTAAGGATTACTCCAAAATCTTCAATATCATACCATTGATTTTCAACCAGCAAACAATCAAAATGATTAATGAATTTTTTGTTCACTCTTGCTTCTATAGTATGTCCCTAACACAATACAAATAAAAAGTTTATGAGCAAATATAATATTAGTTCAGTAGTATACGCAACAAAACAATAAATTCATATAGTAAGATATTATATTGAAGTAACCTTTGGATCAGACAAAATAAGCATAAGAGTGACACCGTCATGTTGAATCCATTCCTTCCACTTCCGAACGATCTTAACTCGAATCTTCCAGTCTGAGGTATCAGTGTTCAAATCAGAAATGTAGTCGTAGCCAAACATAATATCAAACAATAGTAATTAGAACTTTACTGTATGCCTTCTAAAATATTACTTAAATAGTGGTGAGCAAATTTTTAATCTCCGACGATGTAGGATTTAGAGAATATAGGTAAGATACTCAGGATAGTAAGTGAATATTATAATTACAACGCCTATAATATTTAAGGAAATTTAAAAAATCACTGAATAAGAGTAGAACATAATTTGGAATTTATATGGTATTGTTAAATATCGTACGAATAAATACAAAAAAAATTGCCTTTAAGTACTTATTATATGTAATACTATAAATATACAAAAATATTCCATTATAGTTGTACACATACCTTAATAGTATTGATGAAAATATCCTATGTTTAAATTAAGTATCGTTGATTTATTGCATAAAGCAAACATCCGAAATAAATTAAGTATCGATGAGTTATTGCATAAAGAATGTCAGTTTATCATTAAAGCGTACAACAATATAGTTAACTACCTAAAGCTTTGTGGGTTTATCAAATATATATTCATACAATATTGTATGGGCCAAATTATATAATTTGCGTTTACTTCTAAACATGGAAATGTAGATTATATGCGAAGATGATATATAAACAGACACGGATGAAGCTATACGTAGTAAAGAAATATTAAAAGCTTTATTCCATTTCACTTTTCATAAAATGCACATCGTTATTGATTATTTTGGCTACATATAAAAGCCAAAATGTTATGAAAAGTAAAAATAATTATCAATAAACTTAATACTGAATACTTAAAAAGATAAAGGAATCATTGATCTTCAAATAGGACAACTGCTCTAGCAAGAAAAGCTTCTTTGAATGTGGGATGAGTAACACCATCAACAGTCTTAATATCATCATAAGATGTAGGACCTCTTACGATGTGCAATAATAACCACAAGTAAAAAAGCTCGGAATCTTCAATGGGATACGTTTTAAGTACCCCGGATTGACCAACACCACGTTTTCTGAGTCTCATTCTTTAAGTTTGGCATTCCACACAAATTTGGTAGGAACTTCAGTGTATAGAATGTGTCGACCATTTCGGTACTTCTGGTTACATTCCATCCAAGCCATAAATTTGATTTTCGTAATGACTTTACCGTGTCTGACGTTGGTTTCGCCAAGAGATAAAGGAAGATGGTAATCCATAATTTCTGGTAAAAAAAAAACATATGTAAGTGTAAACCTTAAGTAGTAAAACTAAAATTATCGAGAAAAACTAAAAACCTGGCATGTTAGT